GGCAGATGCCCCTGTGGGCCCGGGCGGGAGGCACACTAGTCCCTGAGCACTGACACTGGGCCATCACTCCAGAACCACTGTCCCGCCTGCCGCTTCCAGCGCGGCCTTGATCTTCTCCGCCTCCTCTTTGGACACGTTGGCCTTGATTTCTTGTGGAAGCGACTCGACCAGTTTCTTCGCCTGCCAGAGAGCAAGAGAAACCAGCGTTCAGTAACCCACAGGCCAGGGCCCCGTATCAGCACCTGTGTCCTGCACCCGGCATGACCCCCGATGGTCCGTCTGCTACAGACAGCCCTTGGATCTCGGCCGGCTGGACCGAGCGCAGCGTGCGACCAGACAGCTCTTCCGCTCCAGTCCCAGACCGCCCGAGCCACTGCCGATTCCTCCTGGCCAACAGACACACCACGCCGCGGAGCCTCGCACCAAGGCGCACGTGGAGCCCTGCCCCAAACCCTCCTGCCTGGACACTGCAGCCCAGCCCTCCACGAGGCTCCATCTCCACTGGACCAACTTCCGTTGTGGGAAGCACCTCGGGGCTCTTGGTTGGGGGAGGCAGGGAGCAGGGGGCTGGGGTATTTCTACAGGCAGGAAAGAGCCGTGGCCCGGTCACCTGGGAGCCCACACTAGACGGGTCAATGGACACACTGGTTCAATGAATCTGGCTTGTTCCCCGCTGAGCCTACGGAACAGGCGTAGCCAGAAGGGCCAAAGTCCACCCACAAGGCCAAACTGCCCCGGCCCAGCTGGATAGCAGCCAGCAGGCAGGGGAAGAGGAAAGGGAAAAGGCTGGAAGACAGCAGGCTCAGGCCAGGTCTGTGCTACAGCTGTAAGGCCACGTAGCCGCTCCGCCTGGCTCCGGCAACCCAGCCCCACTACACTGGCCGGAGGGCATCTCCCAGCACATGTGGGTGAATCTTGCCTCAGTCGGGGACAGCCCGGGACAGACGCGGCCGCGGAGACGTCCCCGCGCAGTCAGACAGACACAGGCCTCGGGATGCCACAGAGCAGTCCCTTAGTCGATTAACCGATGAGCAAATGCTGATTGGCTACTGCTGGCGACGGGTCGCGTGCGGCGCGGCCGCGGGGGACCTACCCCGTCAGTTTAAATGTAGTAAGAGCCGGGCGGGCAGGCAGCCTGGCTCACACCGGGTCCAGGACCCGCAGCGCTGCAGTGGGGGGCAGTTTAAACGCGGTAAGAGCCGGGCTGCCTGCAGCGGGGGTAGCTCCAGGACTGGCCACTCTGACTCCCCTTCAAATTCTCTCCACCACACGAGTAGCGAGTTGCCTGCTTCTTACCAGGCCTGGATTAGAAGGGGCAATGTTGGAATAGCTGGGACTGTTCTGCACCCAGCGCTCCCCCATCACAACAGGATATTGGGGATGGATTTCTGCTCTTTCTACGTCCTGATCATTGTTGCCACCTGGGTCTGTCTGAAACTAGACCAGGGCTACCCACGTGGCATGCATGATCCCAATGCACCGGGCCCCGCGTGTCCGCCCTGCGCCGTGGGTACAGCGAGGGGTGATCCCAATGCACCGGGCCCCGCGTGTCCGCCCTGCGCCGTGGGTACAGCGAGGGGTGATCCCAATGCACCGGGCCCCGCGTGTCCGCCCTGCGCCGTGGGTACAGCGAGGGGTGATCCCAATGCACCGGGCCCCGCGTGTCCGCCCTGCGCCGTGGGTACAGCGAGGGGTGATCCCAATGCACCGGGCCCCGCGTGTCCGCCCTGCGCCGTGGGTACAGCGAGGGGTGATCCCAATGCACCGGGCCCCGCGTGTCCGCCCTGCGCCGTGGGTACAGCGAGGGGTGATCCCAATGCACCGGGCCCCGCGTGTCCGCCCTGCGCCGTGGGTACAGCGAGGGGTGATCCCAATGCACCGGGCCCCGCGTGTCCGCCCTGCGCCGTGGGTACAGCGAGGGGTGATCCCAATGCACCGGGCCCCGCGTGTCCGCCCTGCGCCGTGGGTACAGCGAGGGGTGATCCCAATGCACCGGGCCCCGCGTGTCCGCCCTGCGCCGTGGGTACAGCGAGGGGTGATCCCAATGCACCGGGCCCCGCGTGTCCGCCCTGCGCCGTGGGTACAGCGAGGGGTGATCCCAATGCACCGGGCCCCGCGTGTCCGCCCTGCGCCGTGGGTACAGCGAGGGGTGATCCCAATGCACCGGGCCCCGCGTGTCCGCCCTGCGCCGTGGGTACAGCGAGGGGTGATCCCAATGCACCGGGCCCCGCGTGTCCGCCCTGCGCCGTGGGTACAGCGAGGGGTGATCCCAATGCACCGGGCCCCGCGTGTCCGCCCTGCGCCGTGGGTACAGCGAGGGGTGATCCCAATGCACCGGGCCCCGCGTGTCCGCCCTGCGCCGTGGGTACAGCGAGGGGTGATCCCAATGCACCGGGCCCCGCGTGTCCGCCCTGCGCCGTGGGTACAGCGAGGGGTGATCCCAATGCACCGGGCCCCGCGTGTCCGCCCTGCGCCGTGGGTACAGCGAGGGGTGATCCCAATGCACCGGGCCCCGCGTGTCCGCCCTGCGCCGTGGGTACAGCGAGGGGTGATCCCAATGCACCGGGCCCCGCGTGTCCGCCCTGCGCCGTGGGTACAGCGAGGGGTGATCCCAATGCACCGGGCCCCGCGTGTCCGCCCTGCGCCGTGGGTACAGCGAGGGGTGATCCCAATGCACCGGGCCCCGCGTGTCCGCCCTGCGCCGTGGGTACAGCGAGGGGTGATCCCAATGCACCGGGCCCCGCGTGTCCGCCCTGCGCCGTGGGTACAGCGAGGGGTGATCCCAATGCACCGGGCCCCGCGTGTCCGCCCTGCGCCGTGGGTACAGCGAGGGGTGATCCCAATGCACCGGGCCCCGCGTGTCCGCCCTGCGCCGTGGGTACAGCGAGGGGTGATCCCAATGCACCGGGCCCCGCGTGTCCGCCCTGCGCCATGGGTACAGCGAGGGGTGATCCCAATGCACCGGGCCCCGCGTGTCCGCCCTGCGCCATGGGTACAGCGAGGGGTGATCCCAATGCACCGGGCCCCGCGTGTCCGCCCTGCGCCATGGGTACAGCGAGGGGTGATCCCAATGCACCGGGCCCCGCGTGTCCGCCCTGCGCCATGGGTACAGCGAGGGGTGATCCCAATGCACCGGGCCCCGCGTGTCCGCCCTGCGCCATGGGTACAGCGAGGGGTGATCCCAATGCACCGGGCCCCGCGTGTCCGCCCTGCGCCATGGGTACAGCGAGGGGTGATCCCAATGCACCGGGCCCCGCGTGTCCGCCCTGCGCCATGGGTACAGCGAGGGGTGATCCCAATGCACCGGGCCCCGCGTGTCCGCCCTGCGCCATGGGTACAGCGAGGGGTGATCCCAATGCACCGGGGCCGAGGGTACAGCGAGGGGTGATCCCAATGCACCGGGCCCCGCGTGTCCGCCCTGCGCCGTGGGTACAGCGAGGGGTGATCCTAATGCAGGGGGGTCCGTGTGGGATTCAGCCTCTCACACGGTGGGTTTGCTGCCACCCGGTGGTGAGAATGTGCATCACGCACCCGGCCCAGCCTGGGCAAGAAGGGACAGGTGAGGCAAGTGGGAGCAGGCACTTCCCCCGGCATGTGGAGCCCAGGGACGCAGTGTGGCTCAGCCCCCAGGAGCCCACGCTGCTCTTCTGGGGGCGGCTCACGTGCCGGTGTCCAAAGCCCCCGGGGAAGAGGCTCGGTGCTCGCAGCACGGCTGCCGGGAGGGGCTGCTCCACGAGTGACCAGAAGCACCCACCGTCCCTCACCTGCACGAGGTTCAGCCCCTGCATGCAGTTCTTCACTTCCTTGATCAGCTTGACTTTCTCCACCGCCTTCGCCTCAGTCAGCTTGACCGTGAAATGAATCTTCTCCGGCTTCTTGACGACCTCCTCCTCCTCTTCTACCTGGAACCAACACAAACCATGGAGGCCAGGGTCCCTCCGCCCTGCCATGCCCAGGGCCTGACGGGCAGTCCCTTCTGACCAGCTGGGGAGCTAGTCACTCGCCTCCCTGCGAGCCTGCAGAGGGGCCCCGCAGCGCGCAGAGGTGCGCCACGACCGACACTTCTACCAGCACGCCAGGGCCTGGTCCAGCACCACGGCGGTAGGGAGACGCCTAGCAGAGCTTCTGGTCAGCTAGGAACCAGCCCATGCTCTCAGACACACTAGAACTACTATTGCCAAGACACGAGCTGCAAGCAAAGCCCGCCTTGCCTAGCTAGCAGCTTCCTTCCCCGCCGTTGTCAGGGACAGTGCGGAGCACCTGGGAGTTACCTGAGCAGCTGACTGCATTGCAGTTGGGGGCATCATTCCACCCATCGGCATCAGCCCCATGTCCTGGATCTTCAGTGTCTTCTGCAGAGGAGGACACGGTGCAGTGTAACCAACAGCACTTCAAGCCTGCCCGGTGCTCCCAGGGAGAAAAGGGATGGAGGAACAGCCCCAATCTGTGCCCTGGGAATTACCCACCCCAGGATCCTGCCTTCCTCCCTGCTGGGGGGGGGAGCATACCCCAACTTAGTACAACCCTGCCCAGCTATGCAGAGTGGGAGAGGTGATAAGTGGGGGGGGGTCACAGAGGGTCATGCCCCCCCATTTCTGCCAAGGTTTATGGGCCAGGCCTCTTCCTTGTGCAGCAGCTCCTGGAGCTGGCCTGATGCAAGCGACAGTCCCTCCGAGAGGCAGCAGCAAACAGCTGGGAGCTCCAGGGAGCAGCTGGTGGGGGCAAAATGGGAGCCTGGCAGGGGAGGGAGGGAACAGGCAAAATAAGCTGGAGGCCAAATCTTTAAATGGTGCCCCCCGGCCGCGCCCCCGGCCAAGCCTCGCCCACCTTCAGCAGCTCGTTGAGGTCTGAGATTTCCAGGAGCGTCAGGCTGGCGATGTCCTGCACCAGCTGCTGGACCTTTGGGGGATATTCCTTGGGGG